ATGAGTCCAAACATTATTTTAAATAACTCACATGAAAACCAGTGACCATGAGAAACAAAACAGCAGCAAGGGCTTGTTTGTCATTTTTACCCAACGATCTTAGAAGAGATACTGATTCCTTCAACTTCACAGATGGGGACATGAGGTACTTGTCTTCTGCAGCTGATAGTAGAGCCATAATATTCAGATTTCCTGGGTCCACATCTAGCACTCTTTTTGGTAAACAGTTGTAAGCAGTCAGGGTTCCTCTTAAAATTTTCACTGCAGAATGTATTTACTTCATCACAGTGACAAAGCAGCAACCATGCAGAAGATCAATAGATACTTCTTAAAATTCACTTTGTTGGTGTTCTCAGTATGACACTTATGTCAATTCGTTGATCCCATCTCACAGATGGGAATATCTGCTGATGTGTGACACTGAGACTTTTCCTAAAGGCCTGTACATGATGACTACCTTGGAAGATTTGCCAGTGTGATCTCTTGTTGGGTTCAGCTCAGAAAAGAGAAAACTTACAAGCTTCATTCAATTCCCTCCCACACATCAGGAGATTTATAAGTAACCAAAACTTAGTGCACGAAATGTATCCCCATCATGGAAGGAGCTAAGCCAAGATGAAATTGGACCTTTCAAACCACACAAAAACTGTGATCTGTTTTTAAAAGGAAAAGCCAAAACCTAAACATTAATATGTAGAAGTTAAATTAAGCAAACAGGCTTTACATCAGACCTTTTACTGATGTAACTCAATCTCTGAAGTCAGAAGAGCTACCCCAATTCATATTAACTAAGGATCCAACATTCCTCTTGCAAACACAGTTGTAAATCTTTCTACAATCCACAGACAATATTACTTTGGGAAGTACATCACTGAATAGTCATCTAGAAAAGCTTTTATCTAAGATATGATGTTTTGTGTCTTTTTCTGCCCATCAATAGTTTATGCTTATCCTCAGAGTCTAAGCTTGATTCAACTGACTTCTGCTCCCACAGTCAGCACTAACTTCAGAGACATCAAGAGTTGATCCTAAAAAAATAACGTCAGTCTGTAACTTAAACAGTTGTGTGTGCTGTGATTTGATTAACTGTAGTAAAAGGAACACAGAACAGAAAATTCAGGGCTTGTCAGAGAAATAAGACCACTTCCTATTATTCTGAAGTTGGTGCAAAGATATAATAAGACTACACTGACTGAAGGACAATTACATAAGAAATTATTTTGATGCATGCTTTGAGCATCAGTCAAAATTTTCAGCGGCATGCAAATTATTGTTAGTGGATTTTCAATAATAGCTTTAATTCACCTATAATTGTTTTCATCCTACTTGGAGCCAAATGGTATCTGCCACCTAGTGGTCCTTCCCTTTTGTTTAAATCATTGATGTGACTCCAATCATAATCTCAAAATATCTTTGAAGATAGCATCACTCAAGGTATTTTACACATCACAGAACTGTTTTTCAAGAAAAAAGATTACTTTTGCAGTAATGTACTGAAAACTCACTTGTCAAACAAGCTGCGTGAACAACTTTAGTTCTGTGGACTACTCTCTCCAGTTACAATTTAAGTCCATACTCTCTCTATAAATTCAAGAAAATTCTCTTTGCAAATAGGTTTTTGCCAAAAGGAAAAGTTTTGAACAAGCTCTGATTATAACATATATGCACTGGGCTTGTGTATTCATATGCCTTGACTTTTAGTTTTAAATCTAACTAGGCAACACATATGCTAAAATAACACAGACATTAAATATTTTTGTTAAAGCTCACTATTCCATGGGTTGGCAAGTAAAAATATCATTTTTTGACATGTCAGGAGACATAGGTATAATTTAGAAAGAAAATTAACATACTTGCTCCTATTTGTCAGATTGACTTTATATAAGGTTCTTGTAAAACAGAACTTACACTTATCCTGACCCCTGTAAAAAGTGTCATCCATCAATATTAAAAAGAAAGGCAAGAAAGCTCTTATTTACCCTACCCTCTAGGCAGAGTTCTTATCCTCAGATGAACTTTATTTTTTAACCAGCTCACTAATTATTATTGAAATCACTGACCCCTCTAAACAGCACATAAGCATTTGAGTTAGTAGCAATAGCAAGACCAGCCTTAATTGGTCCACTTACATAAAAGTAGAAACATAAAACTTCTAAATGTAAGTTTCTGTCATATCTTTTCTTATTATTACAGGAAACTAAGGTTTAACAGAGTGAAATTCCAGCTGATTTGCACTGAAATCTGTGCCAGTATGTTTTCTAGCGACTGCGCTTCAAAGCAGGGATGGAGATGGACAGACACTGTTGTATGCAATTCAGAATTCCAAAGTAGTCAGTAAATCACATAATATCCAGTGGGTGAATAATGAAGTGGCATTGGGCCATTTTTTAAAATGGTTTGTAAGTGAAAATCCACAATTAGGAAAAGAATAAAAAAAGAGAGACAGGTTGCTGTAGTACCAACCTTTCTTTCTCAGTCCCATTCTTTTAGTTATTTCTGATACAGCGGGGAACTAAAATATGCCTGTGAGCCAGCAAGATAGGCTCAGCATCACTGCAATGTTTTATGTGGTCTCAGTTGGTGGTATCAGAATTTAAATTAGAAATCCCAATTGAACAATGATTATCTGGACTCCGAAGCTGACAGAAAAAAAAAAAAAAATCCGAAAAAAGGAAAAAAAAAAAACCAAACCCAGCTACAGTCTTTCCCAAGAGCAATTGCCCTTTCTGGCAGGAAGGGGTAAAAATAGAGGCAGCTCATTAATATGGCTTGGCAGTGCTTAATGGCAGCTGGTCTGAAGAGTTAGATCAGTGGGTCTTTCCAGCAGTACTCCCGGACCACTGCCAGCAGGTGTTGCTGTGTTCAACAAAATGAAAAGGAGTGCGGCGCGGGGGGGTGGGGAGATGGGGAGAAAAATATTTATAAAGAGAGAAATAGGTGTGAAAAAAAATTAGTCACCGAGTAAAGCTTTCATTAGGCCTTTGGTAAAGCTATACACAAACTCCCCGGGGCAATAAGGAGCATGCTCTGAAATGAATAATGCTTTTCACTTCTCCTAAACTCCTTTCAGAACTTATCCTGCGCTATAAATCACATACGTGCTTGCTGTGCTTCACTCGGTAGCTTTCTCGTTCTGTCACGGACCACACACTTCTCCCCGGGAATCCTCTGCCCCGCGGCCGCGGTGGGAGAAGCTGGGTCCCGGCTGGTCGCTGCCCCAGGAGGGGAGCGGCGGTCACAGCCGGCACCGCACCGCTCTGACTCCGAGGAGAAGATCGCTCCGGCAGTCCCGGGCCGAATCTCCTCCGTAAAAGCACTGCAATGTGGGGTCCCTTGCTGAGAATATGTCCGCTGACAAATTGCAACAGGCACTGCACTACCAGTACGCAACAAATTTCCAAGAGTTTTAGGATGTCAGTTAAAACCAAATTCAGCCTGCTCCTGAGAAAGGCAGGACTGCAAGGTGGAAAAGTCGTTTGGCAAAACCTGGGTTTAGGATCCCCACGAAAAATAAGTCCTGAGACTAACTGGGTATATACGTGCTCATTATCTGTTTCTTGAAGCAAGTGTCTCACTATCCCTGAGGAAAAAGAAAGGAGGGGTGAAACAACAACAACAACAACAACAACAACAACAACAACAACAACAACAACAACACCAGAAAAAAAAAATAAAAAAAAAAGAAGTGTTGTTCTTTGTAGCAACTGGAACCACCAAACTCAGATTGCAGAAAAGCTACTGCAACCTGTTTCACTTATTATATGCGTATTAAAAATGGGAAACAAAGCAATCTATCTGGTCATATGTTTCCCATTAACTTCTGATTTTTTTCTCATTCTGCCAAAGCTGTTGTGTGAATACAGCACACACACCAGTTGGGATCAACACTGCTATAAGGACTCCCTGGTATCACTGTAAATTGAAAGCTTGAAATCTTTCTTTGATGCAGATCAGCCATATTCCAAGATAAATCAAAGTTACAATACCAAGAGGACATAAAAAATATAATTATAAGTACAATTCAGGCAAAAAAAAAAAATCTGAGGGATGGGGATTTTCTGGTAATCAGTGGGTGTTATGAATGAGTAAAGACTGCATGATCATGCCATTTGTCATAAACGGTACCACATAAAGCCAGTTATTATATGTGTTTAAGAAAGGAGATGGATTTTGGATTTACTTTTGACCTTTTATATATTACTTCTGTACTGCCTAATTGGCATAGTTATTTCTGATTTTCATTAATGTAAATTGAAATTAAAATTGCCATTTATTTTATTCCACAAGTGTTAATACCACACTTGCAAAAAAAAAAAAAAAAAAGTGAACTGTCATTCATTGTAGTTTATTTTTAGATATCTAAACAGTTTTTAATAGTGTGATGCAATCTGCACGTCAAGGAGCCAGGAGAATTGGACAGGAGCAATATGATTCATTTTTTAAAGAGCTTTAAAGGGATCCCTAATTTAAACAGAAGGACATATTTATTCAGAGACTGAAATTTAAAAAAAAAAAAAAATCATCCAAAGCCAAAGGATTCTTACTCAAATGCATTTTCCTGAATTTGAAAAAAATCCAAATTTGCAGAAAGATTATCTGGTATATCCTCAAGTATGTACAAAGAAGAAAACAATTTGCAAAGTAGTAATTAAGTATCTGGCAAATACTGTATTTGAACTAGAACAGTGCTATCTACATCTAATAATATCTAGCTATGCAATTCAACAAGTTGGAGTGCATCTTCCTGACTCATAATGTTTGCTTTGTCTGATTTTAAGTTCTAGTCTTTAAATGGATACAGATATTTTGTCATGCTAGAGAATAAGGAGTTTCCATTAGATAATTAATTACCAGAAGTATGTCTCATACAGGAAAAACAGTCAATTGCTGATGTAACAGGATTAACCAATCCAGCACAGTGATCCGGCCCACTTTTGACAGACGTTATATGTGATGTGTACACACGAGAAGTACAGTATAAAGCTTCGCATTATGAGTACCACAAAGAGGAACTTCAGCAGTTCTTAAAGCACAATACAGCAGTCTCCTTCTGAGAGTCAGGACTAGAGAGGTAAAACTTTCAATCAGCTTTTTTCCTTTCGAACTGAAACTTTTAATTCCTGTGCATGCTGTTGCATACTGTTAGGGTTACATTGAATGAATGCATATGCAGAACTTTGCAGCTCAGGTAATTTGAAGAAAGAGTCTGAACCAACATTTCTGTATGTATTCAAACACATTTCTGTATGTATTTTTGTACGTATATGTATATACATGTAAGTACAAATAAACCATGTATCAGCGGTATTGGAAGACTCTCTTTTAGAAAACAGTGGTTTTTAGAAAGTTATGCTTTAGCATTAAATCTGTCATCATCATGGCATGCAAGTAAAATATGCTATACCTCTATGTAAAAGAGATTGTATGAGATAACTGTACCTGTAGTATATGGCAAGCAACATATACCCCACAGCAAGAACCCAGACATACTTATCTGCATTTTATTTTGATTTATGCCGCTCCCTTACTTTTCATCAGACACTGTTAGGATAGGTGCTATATTAGAACTATATATAACTCCTTTAATTATGTCATCTGTTAGTACATCTAATCATGAATGCATATTTTCATCTGAAATTATTTTTTCATCCAATTAAACTTTTAGTTCTATTTCAAGCTGACTTTCAGACTTCATATAATTACAACAGACTTTGGTCTGTTCACAAGATCCAAGAAAATTCAATGTATTATAGTGAGGTTTGTGTTACAAAGATGTGTTTATAAGAATGGCTGCAGGGTTTATAATGCTGACAGACCTGTAAGTGTAACAGTATATAACAGTATAGTAACTGAGGTCAGTAAAACACAGATGAGGGGGTACTGTGGATGCCTTATAACAGTAAAAGACTTATAAAAGATCTTAATTGAAAAGGACTAGCATTATATAACATTTGTAAGACTTTGGTTGATTGTTCAATTACTTCTGTATGTTTCATTTACTCTACCTATAATTCCTTGCCTGTCTCTTAGCCCATGTGCCTGTAGTCATCTCATGGAAATGAGAGACCTTTCAATGCTTATATTTATAAATTATTCCTTTCCACTGTGAAATACAATGGTTGACAGTAATATGCTGAGATATGCTGGAATATTTGCTGGGTAGGAGGTAAGCCCATCTAAGAAGACAGGTGTAGTAGAGAGAGAGAATGAAAGGAATGAAAAGAAAGAGGGCAAACGCTAAAAAAGAAGAAGCTGCTTTAAGAAAATTGGTACAAGATAATGTCTTGAAAGGAAGAATCTCAAAATGTATAGTTATAGTTGTCATTTTTCCATTATCAAATTCAAATGTAAGCAAGTTTGCAAACTTCAGCTTTGCTGGGTAAGGAAGAGAATGGAGGGGATACAGAATGTGAAGGCGACCTGAAGCCATGGCAATGGCACAGGGAATGCCTTCTCACTGCAGAGCAAAGCCCTCCCTGGCATAAACTGACAAGGGGCTACCAACACTGGCTTAAACTTCTTGTAGTACTTTAGATTTCTTTTAATTTCCAATGTCCTATTCTAATATTATGATTGCTCTCTGAGATTTAAATGAATGAAGTAATAAGTGCCTTCTAATAACAATGGACCCAATGCAGAAGATCTTACTCAGCCTTCACTCAGACAGAATTATTATTGGCATCGATGAGGGATTTGCCTGAGTGAGAAGCAAGTATGATTTGGCCAGATGACATGTAACACTTTTCACATTCAAAGCATTTTTCAGGCATCGCTTGTTTAACCCCAAACCTAAATATATCTACCCAAGAACTTCCAGGCACAGACTAGCACAGAAGTAGGGCTATTATATGGCACTACCATATCATGTCACATATATGTACCAGCTCCTGCTTAGGCTTTCAGTGCCTGACTGCATTTTGCAGCTGGGGAGTGTATCATGTATTATAGACCCTCCAAACAACAGTGCTATTTTGTGCTTGTCAGACCTTTTGTCAGTGTTGATAACCCCCAGCATTTAGAAGTGAGCAGAAAAGATTTTTTTCTTCTACTCCAGGCAAAATAATGTTCTGTTCAAAATACTCAGAGCCCCTGCCCTCATTCCCATCTCATTCACAAGCTATTTAACATCTCCTGCTATCCCTAACAATACCAGGCAGGACCAAGAGCAAGGTGATCGTTAAAGATTTCACTCTCTTCATTCATTCATGTTTCCTCTGTTTAGTTAAGCCAGTGATACTGTTGAAGGAATAAAACAAACAAAACAAAACAAAAAGAAAGGGAAAAAAAAAAGGGGGGGGGAAAATAAAAAAAACTTTCTTTGGACAAAACTTAAAAATCCCGAATTTCACACAGAAGCCCTAATAGTCGATTATAAAAAATTCTTAAAACGAATGACAGCTGGGGGGGAGGGGTCAAACAGAAAGGAAAAAAAAAAGGAAAAAAAAAAGACTAAATTTACAGGAATGAGAAGATATTTTAGAAAGGGGGGAGGGAAGGAACCACGAGTAGTGATATTTGAAGAGAGGTGTGTGTTAGGGGAGCAATGAGCATAAGGAAGCCAGCCTGCCTGTTCCTCCCCCTTCCTAATCATAGCCTTTACTCACAGACAAAACTCCCTCCCTCTCTCATTCACTCACTCACTTTAGGCCAATCCGTCCTCTCTCTCTCTCTCCCTCTCTCTGTGTCTCTCTCCTACTCTGAGACAGAGTCAGAACTCTTCTCCCTGACAGCCACAAACATCTACAGCACTTATTGCATTCAGAGTGGGAACCTGCAAACAAAACTTCACAGAAAACTTTTGGTTCTTGTTCCAGAGAATTTGCTGAAGAGAAGGAAAAACAAACAAACAAACAAACAAACTAAACCAGCCCCCAAAAAAACTGTTCGTGAAGGGGGAGGAAAAGCAGGGCCTTTTAAAAAGGGAATCACAACAACTTTTGCTGCCAGGATGCCTTTGCTTTGGAAGAGAGGATTTCTGTTGGTGCTTTGCTGGATTATAGTGAGGAGTTCCCCAACCCCAGGATCCGAGGGGCACAGTTCAGTCACTGACTGTCCATCATGTGCCCTTGCCACGCTCTCAAAGGATGTGCCCAGCTCACAGCCTGAGATGGTGGAAGCAGTAAAGAAGCACATACTGAACATGTTGCACTTGAGGGACAGACCTAATATCACCCAGCCAGTGCCCAAGGCAGCACTTTTAAATGCCATCAAAAAACTCCACGTGGGAAAGGTGGGAGAGGATGGTTATGTGGAAATAGAGGATGATGTTGGAAGAAGAGCCGAAATGAATGAAGTTGTGGAGCAAACCTCAGAAATCATCACTTTTGCAGAATCAGGTGAGTGCTTAAAAAAAATAATGTAAAATATTCTTTGTGCCCAAACTGAAAAATATCCTTTCTGCCAAAACTGCAATAACTTATTTTCTTTTTCTCAGCAATAATGTTTTCTGTGAGGTTGTAGGATGAAACCTGGGGGAAGGGAGAAGGAGGAGTGGGATGGGGGGGGTAGGACTCTGAAGGAATTTGATTTTTCTGACTTAGTCTTGGCTACAGATTACACTTGCTAAGCACAGTCAGTCACACAGGGAGGAAGCTCTCTAACCAATCTTGAACATAAAGTCAGGCTGCAGCAGGGTCCTCCAAACTCTGCCTGTAAATCCAGGGAACTTGCAGTATAGGGCTGGATTGCAGAGTTGATGGCAAAAGAAAAAAGACTGCAGCCTTCTGGGGAATTTATGAAGACAGAAAGTGAACTGCAAACTACTTTACAAACAGCCCTTTCATGTAAAAATTATAGTGGAAGTTATAAAATCAGATGAAGCAGCTTTAAGTTTTAGAAGTGAGATGGCTTTTTTGTGGGCTTTTTCCCTCATTTTTTTGTCTTTTTTTTTTTTTAATTTAACACAGCATCTTTGGCAATAAAGAGTTGCAGGGACTGTCAGATGACTTCAATAGAACTGGACAAGTTGCTGTAGCTGATCCAATTTGTAATGCAGACTTCTGCATACTGGAAAAAAGATTCTGCTTCTAAAACACTCCTGCCAAAAATGCAACCTTGGTAGAGTGTATTTTGAACTCTTTTACAGTTCTTTTCCCCGTAACTCTTAGGCAGCAAGAGCTCAGAATATATGTATTTAGTAAGTAATGTCTTTAGGCTAACATAAACTGCCCATAGGAAACAACTCTAAAGTTGTACTTTGCTGTCTTGTTCCTACATGAATAGGACCAGAACCCATTTTAATTCAACATATGTGTATCTGCACATAAATCTGTTAGTGTATGTGGGTATACTAGTGCACACATCAATAGCAGCTACTTGCAATAAGTCTATCATCTAACTAAGAGCAACTTTTTATGATGCTGTCTAGCCAAAGCATTTTTCCTGTTGCCAAGACGGTTTTAAAAGAATGTCATTGTTTTGTTTGGTACAGCATATGGTAGGCAAAGTATGCAAAGGAACTCCAAGCATTTTTGTTTAAAAGTTTGCTGCAGCAGTATAAACAATTAAGACAACACTCAGAGTTTCCAGTCCTGAAAACCTGTTGACTCAGATGTTCTGATTGCAGGGAAGCCATGCACAAGAAGTGTGCATGCTTGTAAGTGCAGACATTCCTGCTGGCTGTCTGATTTCCAACTGTACAAGGAGCCCTTGCTTTTGGAGTCTTTGTCAATATACATATTATCAGTTCTTTCAGCATGAGAGCTCAGGCTTTTCAGATTTTCTATCTCCTCCACTTCAGAAAGCAGGGAGAAGATGTCAATGCCAGAGGTCATTAGAAGCAGGAGTAGCTCAACATTAGTTTAGAAATGAATTTATAAAAGCAAGAAAACCTCTAAGCTATCGATGAGTCGGATTCCCCACCTGGTTTTCAGCAGCTCGCTCTGAGCACAGTGGAACACATATGGCACGAACAGTGGTTTCTCTTCACTGTGTGCGTCGCAATAATTTGTAAACACATTATTGTCTCTCCTGAGCTCTGACACAAAGGAATCTGGAATTTGATATATGCCTGCTCTGTACAGTACCCTCAGCGGCGGCTGCCGAAGCCATTGGCTCTCGTGGTCACGTGAG